AATAAAAAAACAAATTATTTAATTAGATGATGTTTATTTTGTGTTGTAAAAGTTAAATTATAATATAATACTTACTCCCTGGTTATTATAAAAACAAATTATTTAATTAGATGATGTTTATTTTGTGTTGTAAAATATTTTATTTACCTTTATAGAATTTAAATTTTATTTATTATAAAGCAAAATATTAAATTTTTTATTTTTTGTGCAAGAAAAAATACCTTTATCCATTTTTTACTGGGAGCAAGAATTTCACTAAGACCAGTGTGTTTATTCTTATTTAAGATAGTATTAATTTATCAATTGATGATGTGAATAAAAATTTATAGAAAAAATTGTATAACTAGTATGTTCAAAAGAAGGTAAATTAATAAATTTTGTATCCAAAATGGGGTAAATCTTGAAATCTTGAAACCTTAAGGTAAATTTAATGAAATTTACTAATTGACTGGGATGATAATTACCTGATGTCCTGTGCATACTAAAGCAATTAGTGGTAGGATATCAAACAATAACTGGATTAAAAAGTGATTCACTTATTAACCGTACATTTTTTCTTAGTTACACCAAGATTTTCATTGTGAATGAATGTAATGTAAATCTTATTGTTACCATGCCATGCTTCTTCAATTGTTTGTGTTTGTTTGTGTCGTCTTCCGATTGGAAATTGATAATAAACTGAGTAACACTCACTATCTTTGAAATCACTTTTTTATTTTCAAAACTTTATAATTAATATTAATTGATTATTGTTTATTATGAATGAAAGAAAAAAATAAAGAATATCAATTAAAAATAATATGGGGCATACTGCAACAAAACCAGACAAAGTGAACATTTGTATCACCAAGAATTTCAGGGTTTAAACATGTTGCTCCCACATTAAAATAATTCAGTAATAGTAACAATTATAAAAAAAAATAATAAAATGATAGTAATAAAATATAAAAATTTAGATTTTTTGTTATAAGAGATTTATTTAAGAAAAAGATTTGAAGATCCTACTGATACCAATAATAATTAATTAAAATAATTTTTCTTGACAAGAAGAAGCAGAAAAATACCAAATTAACCACTTAATAAAAAAATATAAAACCAACAGCCTGGAAAAAGATGGCTGAATGAAAAAAAGAAAAAGTAAATAGTAATGAATATTGGTCATTATTAATTGTGAAGCACAAAAAATACTTGATTGATAAAAAAAAAGCAAGAACTAGC